CAATTAATGCTCAAATATACTTTCAGCAATTAGAGCGTTTGAACCAAGCTTTGAGGAAAAAAAGACCTGCTCTAGTGAATCGAAAAGGGGTGTGATGTTTCATCAGGACAATGCGTGACCCCATACAGCAAGAATCACATCACAGAAGATCGAAGAACTTGATTGGGAGAAAATTCCTTATCCACCTTATTCTCCTGATCTTGCTCCTTCAGACTACCATTTGTTTCGTAGCTTACAGAATCATTTGGAAGAAACAACTTTTGTAATACAGGAAGAAGTTAAAACTGACATTTGTGAGTTCTTTGAATCAAAGCCAAAAGAATTTTTACAGTAATGGAATTAGTAAGCTTGTTAATAGATGGGAGGAAGTCATAGATAATCAGGGAAAATACATTGTTGATTGAATCTGTAATTAAATATAACATTTGGTCACTTGTTTTCTTTATTCAAAATTCAGACAGAACTTATGGGATGACCTGTATATATATATATATATATATATATATATATATATATATATATATATATATATATGTGTGTGTGTGTGTGTGTGTGTGAAATGCAAAACATACGCATATTTATGTGTCATGGTGCTCTTTTCCTTGCAGATGTTGTCCAACTGACCCTACTATATTGTGCAGATGACAAGATCAAAAATAATGCACAAAAATAGAAATATAAAATGGCAAAAATTTACCCATCACACCCTGTATGTGTTTATATTTCTTTCAGTAAGTTTCAATAAGTGAATATTTTCTTATTTTTGAACAAATTAAATTTACAAAGTAGTTTATTACTTTTATATATTGATTTCCTAAAGGTCTTAATAGATGTGTGTGTGGGTGGTATTATGCCCGAATAAATATTGCAGTCAAACTTCACACCAGACCATCAAGGAAACCAGGTGCACTATGGGGTTGACATGGATTTACTCCTGGCCACCAAATGCAGAAGTATTTGCCCTAACACTTGTATCTACTATTGCAAGCATAGAAATGGAAATATTGGATAGATGTATACAGGGGATGCAAAAGTAAGTATACAGTAATTAAAAAACAAAAATGTATGCATGTGGGGAAGTCATGTAGAAGCAAAAGTGAGCCAGAGTAGCAAAGGAAAATAAGTGTCTTACTTCTCTGTGCAGTATGTGGTATCAGCATTTTATTCTTTGAAAATGGCATTACTCTCTCATCTGACTATTCCAGCAGTAGGGGGCTTTTGTAGAGTTTAGCACGGTTCGACCAATAGCAAGTTCTCTGCTGATTGGTCAGACTGGAAGAGGCTATTTCTCAGCATAAGTGAGAACAAAAATGAAGAACGCTGATTGGTCAGTTGTCTGCGGTGTTGGCTTAATAAAAGAGGGCTGAAGCAGTGAGAAGGCAGAATGGTTTCACATTAGTGAAGTGTGCAGAATGCAAGAACGGCAGATTGAACAAGCGGTATCTTGTATTGTACGAATGATGTGCAAGGAATAGAGACTCATTTAACTACAGTGCACAAAATGTATTAAATGCATCCTAGAACTACTATTATAATATTGGTATAATACTTACTGTATACCAACTTTTGCAGCCCCTGTATAAAACAACTGGCTCCAAAATGTTTGAGGCAGTCTCTCACAAACTGTGGAGGGGGAATGTAAATTTTAATTTCAAATGAGGGTTCTTGAGGCTGCATATCACAGACTAGCCAAAACTAACTTACAAAATCAGGAATTGAATAAGATGTAACATTCAAGTCTAATCAATGATTACATTGTGTGTGTGTGTATGTGTGTGTAAGTGTGTGTAAGCCATCCAAATTTTGTCAATTTATTGAATAATATGATTTCAAGGGAATGGCTGAAAGCTCTGTTTCATCTTCATCATTAGCATTTCAGTTAAATTAATAAAACTGCAAGGATAAAAATCTCATGTGTCATTTCTTTTTTTCCTCAGAAACTGAAATTTTCAAGCATAAAATAAACAAAAGAAATTCTTATGAAATTTCATTAACCATTTCATTGTCATGGATGAGATGATTTGCCTTAGCATGTCATCAGTTAAGTGTCACAGATAAGATAACTCGTCTTACCATAGCATGTTCTTCTTTGGCAAGATGGCAGCATCTCCTTATGCAAACAAAGTAAATTTGCGTATTTGCTTTGGTCATATGATAACTCGTAATTGAGTAAATATTTGCACGATTCTCGGCCTTATGTGTAAATCCATGTTTCAAGATAATTTTATATTCATTGAATTTCTTAAAATACTTCAATACATTTATGCATATGTTACATTTTTAAGATATTCTGCTGTACATATTGATTTGCATGAAGGTCTTCCATTTCCATCCTTTTTTTTTTTTTTTCATTAAAAGTATCCTTGGCAGCAAATAGGTTAAATCTTGAAAAGTGAGATCTGCATATACATGATTTGCTAGCATTTATGAAAATTAAGCAAATGGCCTGAGTTCAAATTCTGCTCACAACTACAGATATTTGTTTAATCATTTCACCCCAAGCAAGGATATAAAGCCACTAAGACACAAGGGGGTTACTGTGTGTTAGAAAATATGAGAAAAAACACTCTTAAGGAGTAAAAATTAAAGAGCATAAGAGCACAAGAATTAAAGATTTGCTTTAATACCTTTAAAAAAGGTATGAATACAGTTTTCCCTGTGCTTTTCCCTATGGTAAATCTCTTTGACTTTGCCTTTATTTTTGAAAAATATTTTTTTAATTCCATGTCTTTTATGGATGTAGCCAAACATAGTTTTTCTTTATCTGTGAATTGCCCTGCATTCTTGGGAAAGATAGTGGAGTGGTTTTAGTGGTGGTTTGCCTTCTCTATGGTTTGGTATTCAGAGTTTCCCTTCTCTTAGACTGGTTGCCACCACAGGCTAGAGAGCTCGGTCTACTATTGTACTTAACACTGCAAATGTAAGAAGATATGGATTCATACCTTTCCTAGTCATATTAATGCAAAAATGAAAAGACGAGCCCAGAATTTGAACTTAGGTTTCATATTCCATTTTCTACCCAGATAACCATTAGACAGTCAACAAATTTCAGTCATATTTTATTATGGGGTGACAACCAATAAAGTGAGTAAAACAAGAGTCACTCCCATCACAATTCAATATGCATGTTGGCCTCAGCTTGGCTTCACAAAGACTTAGAAAGATTTTCCATATCAGTTATAGGTAATTAACTAAGTCCATGCAGGATTGTTATGCATTTCTCCATCTGCAGCAGGCAAGGGTTTATCTGCTGGCAGATTAAGAGAAATATTAACCTATATCACTTTGCCTGGTTGAGGGAAACAGAATGCAGTTGCTAATGCAGATCTGGTGCAGGTTGATGAAGAACAATTATTTTTTTTAAGGTAGATCTAGATGCCAAAGAATTTTCAACCTTTAAAAAGCAAGATGATGCTTGCTGGTGAGATGCTTCTGAGTGAGTAACCAGAACTGCATCATCTACAAACACCTGCTCTCTGACCAGTTGCACTGCTTAGTGTGGGTCCAGAGATGCCTTTACCGGTTGTCATTCAATAATAAAACACATTCACACTCCCCCACTTTCTCTTTTGTCAGTATCTCTCCCTTCATTTCTTAGTGCACATACACATATATTCCTAAATGTACACATGCACATACTTGATCTTCAGTTCTTTGGTATACATGCCACTCACACGCATACGCATGCACATAAACCCTAACCCTAACCTGTGCAATTGCTTATCAGCAAACATAACTTGCACAACAATATGTGAAACCTCAGCATCAAACAGCTTTAACTCTTTAGCATTCAACACACTCAAACCCACCCTGTAAATATTGAGGAAGACGTGTGTGAATTTTAATTGATTGGTTTAAATAAAGACAAAAGGATAACCCATCTTAGCTGACATTTTGTTGCCTGAGGGATTTTATCAGGTAAATGTGTTCTGTTAACAGCTACAGATTTTTTTAATCATTTCATCCCAAGCAAAGCTATAAAGCAACTAAGACACATTTGCCTTGATAAAGTCACTAAAATACATTTGCCGTGATAAAACCACTAAAACACATTTGATTTGATAAAGCCACTAAGACACATTTGCCTTGATAAAACTACTGACACATTTGTCTTCATAAAACCCCAAAGACACATTTGCCTCAGAGGATGAAATGAATCACTTAACATATTGTCCTTTCATAGATATACTCTATCTGAAATTTTTCACATTGACATCTGTATTTGTGTGTGTGTGTGTGTATGCAAATTGAAAAACACATGCAAATGTTCATGTACATGTGTAAATCTGTTTCCTCTTGTACATATGTATATAAATATTCACAAACATGGACACACACACACAATTTCATACACCACTCTCAGAGATACACACACACACACTTGCACTTATTAATATTTGGACAATTAGCTGGTTTTAATTTCCTTCTTCTTCAGCCTGAACAGAACAGGAAATACCTGACAGCGGCACCGTACCGATTGATGCTGCATTTACCATTTTGCATTCAAGACACAGTGGCATTTAGGCTCATAGTTCATTCAACCTATATGTCTGCAAGAAAGCAACAATTTCTGAACTAATCATTAGGAAGTGAGGCTTTTCTTTAGAGAATATCTGGCTTCTTGCAGATAAAATTAATGGAACCTAAAAGACTTAGAAAGAAAATTTTTTACACAAAATTCAGATTCTTTGAACAAATTTCTGCCCTCTTCTCAGAAATCTAAAAGATAAAAAAAAAATCATTTTTTCTTCTTGTTTAAGATTTTGTGACTTACATCCATATCATGTTGAAACACCAGTTCCCATACAATCACTGAAGTTAAGCAATGTGAAGCCTGGTCATACTAATAAGCTTGCACATCTATGTGGTATGTCATACAGACACATCTTGTTGAAAACTGGTCCCCTGAAGCTAACTGGTCAGTACCTAAATGGGTGACTGCTTAGGAATACCATATGTTATAAGCTTGGAGGTGCATGCTGTACGTCTTACAGTGACATCATGTCTAAACATTGGTTCCCATGCAATCATTGATGTTAAGCAATGTCAAGTCTGGTTAGTACTTAGATGGGTGACAGCTTGGGAATACCTGGTGCTGTAAGCTTTGATGTACAGGTGTTGTAATAGATAATTGCTTGGAATTGTTAATTGGACAGCAAAGTTCCAATATCCTTTCACACACACACACACACACACACACACACACACACACACACACATATATATATATATATATGAAGAAAAATATACTGAAAAAACAAACAAAAAATCCTAATATGCGATTATGCTGTTTTAATGTTTAATGTCAACATCGGACGTTTCGGTCTAATAGACCATCTTCAGGACATATTCATAAAACATAATTAACATAGACCATATACAATTCAACATGAAAAAGACGATGGACATAAAAGCAATACCAATCCAAACAGATAACTGAAATCTTTTATGTCTATATTCCTCAATCCAAGCTGCTATCCATTACTCCATATATATATATATATATATATATATATATATATATATATATATATATATTCCTGTAAGATCACTGGTTAAGCAGCATCAAGCCTAGTCAGTACTTAGATGGGTGACCACTTAGGAATACCAGGCACTGTAGGCTTGGATTTCTGGGTGGTGTAATGGATAATGACTTGTAATTGGAAATTGGGGAGCCAAGTTCTAATTCCAGTTTTGTTTGTTATATTCTTTTATACACAGATACCTTTGGGAAAGTTATGAATCACTCTCTTCAACCTCCAGCTATGGGTTAATTAGTAATACTTGTATAATTAAATCATTATCTCCAAAAAAATAATTCTTACAATCTAAAAATATTTTCTGGCTTTAAATAACCTGCAAAAGGTTGATAAGCTGTAAAGGTTAATAAATCAATCAATCAATTTAACATTTTGAGAATTATTTATTTGAAATGTGAAATTTAGTGAGAATATACATTTTGGCAGTTGTAAGTAAGAAGGAAAAAGATAGTATGAAAATTTTGAGTGGAGAGATAGCAATATGGTTATTAGTAGACTAATATCCAAATTAAAGTAACAAAGTTGAAAAACTACACCCTTGTGCAAATTAATTGAAACAAAATGAATAATTCTGTCATTATTTACATTTTTTTGTATTTTTACAATGAAATATAACTCAGTGCACATGTTAGTACTTTGTATGTCCATTCCACAACGTTGTTCCTTGAAGATTGACCACAGATTCTCAATTGGATTAAAATCAAGAGAGTTTCCTGTCATTCTATAGTACTTTAATTTGCTCACTGGTAAGGCTTGCCAGTATGTTCATGGAGCATTATAATTTTCATACATTTCCTTGGAGTAACGTCCATCACAGACAATGGCCGTAAGATAACTATTTGGCAGTTGAGAAAATAGTTTCTGGTGGGAGGGTGATAAAAATCTGATGCAATCACTGATGATGCAACATTTTTCAATGCTAACAAATTTCATCATACACCCTGAAAATAGATTCATATTACTTCACACCACTGCAAATGACCCAATCTGAGAAAAAATAAAAATAGATTACACCCTGTCATTCCAGTGGGTCTAAAATAAACATGATGACTTTCTCATATTTTATAGGTTGAAATTGATATTTTTAAAGCAAACATTTTTATATCAGGTTCCAACCCGACTAATCGCTCTTCCATATTTTTCTCCATCTACTATCTAAGCTTTGCTCAGGATAGCTAAGTCTCTTGGTACCTTAAGTTACCAAACAATATTTCATGCACTAATATGACTCAGTCAGAGCCACTCTCCTGTTACCCTGGATTACATTACTGGATTTGAATTTTAGCCCACTTTGAGTAGATCTCTGTTTTTTTCTGACTTTGTCTGTTGCATTGTGCTACTAATGTCGTTATAATGCTTGGTGATATTGTATATGAGCCTGGCTTGAGATTAACAATCAAGAACTGTGAGATCAGTGCACTTTCAATGGATTTTCTTCTTGGTAAATTCTTTTCTCTTGTAAACAGACTTTTATCACATCAAAATTGCATACATAGATGGAGGGAGAAGAAGAGGATTCATACCTTTACCAAGGGTATTGACCTTGAAAGTGAATGTAATGGTTTTGACTGGAATTCAAACTCGGCTCTCCGAATCCTCAATTTGAGTGCCAATGTATGCCAATGCATTTAAAATGCTGTTCTGCAATAATTCCTTGGGGTAATCTTTTTTTGAGATTTATGCTTGTTTTGCCAGTATATGTAACTGGACATTTTGTGCAATTTATTTTGTAATTACTTGCCTTTTTTATTGTTGTTATTTTGTTTGGCACTGGCTATGTTTTATTGTTTTGAAGGTTGGATAAGTTGTTTTCAATGGTAGCTGTTATGAAGTTGGTAGGTAGAATTGGGTTCCTGGTTTTTTAAATGCTGTTGGGAGTATTATCATTTGTGAATTTTTCTATTTTTCTTCATCAGATTTTGTAGGCTTTGCATTTGGCATTATACAAGAAATAATTTGGGTATTGGAGGACTTGAAATGTGTTTACAATGTGTTTTTCTTCATTGGCTAGGAATTGGGGGCTACAGTTATAAAAGGCACCTAAGAAGAAACCTATAATTATTCCAGATTGTATCTTATTGTTATGTAGGAATATATCTTCTTTATCTTTATGTTATTGGGAGAAGAATTGTATATTAGTTGTTTTATCTGTGGATCTTCAGTAGACCTTTACTTTTATATCATTATGAATGCATATTAACATAATGCCAAGAAACGGTAAAGAGTGTTATGATCCTGGTGTGTAAGTGAAATACAGTGGAGTAATGGAAAGCAGCTCAAATTGAGGATTCGGATAACCGAATTTAAATTCCAGTTGAAACCATTACATTCACTTTCAAAGTCAATACCCTTGGGAAAGGTATGAATCCTCTTCTTCTCCCTCCAGTTATGGGTAAATAGCAGGACAGATCGGGTTCTATAGCTTTGGATGGCAACTGGTCTACCACAGAAAGAAATGGCAACCTACTGCAGGAAAAAAAATTGCCTTGTCAGTCATGTATCGAAAGATACATGATTGCCTAAGCATGTATCATGCATGGCACATAACTGACTGACTGATAGCAATATGACTGAGATTTACACCCGTCCAACAATAGGCTATGTCATAATATTGGTTACAGTATCATTCTTTAAGAGAATTTCCAAGAATATGAAATAGGATTTCAAATCTCATTAGAAACTGCATCTTTATTTCAACTTCACATTAATATAAGAAAATGGACTAAACATGAGGACAATGTTAAGGTGTTAGAGAAAATGGAAATGAAAAGGATTCTTATACTTAACATCAAAAAGAGAGAGCTGAAATTACTAGGACACATAATGAGGAAAGATGGCTTAGAAAATTTAACCCTCACAGGACATATTAAAGGCAATAGGGACAGAGGAAAGAAGTGCATAACCTACCTAACAAGCTTTTGTAAATGGTTGGCAGAACAGGGTTTAGGAGAGATACTGAAAAGATGAAATTTACTAAGAACAATAAAGGACAGTAAAACGGCAGATAGAAGAAGAAAAAAAATCAACCTTGTAAATTGTTATAAGAAATGACAATCACTTGAAGAAAAGACTAAGAAAACTAAGTATTTCAAACTATTTATCTTCACTTGATTTTGCATGCTTGCAACTGTATATCACTTCTATGAGCAACAAATTATCTTACCTTTGTTTTAAATATTTTTGAATATTATTTTGTGTCAGATCATTTAATCTGTTGTATGAACATTCCCTCTTCATGACAATTCATTAAAACTACAGGCTTTAAAAATTGGATTTATTTTCCTAAAATGAGCGACTGACACAACTTTAAGCATGTAAACTCATAAATAAATTACTTATTTTGTTTTGTTAAAATTACCTATGTGTTTCCTCGTCATTATCATCCTTAATTAATTTTGTTGACGTAGTTAAATCAACTGTTCATTTTAATCCCTAAGCCCCATGCCACTATAACTCTCTTTCCTGGTTAATTTTTTTAATACAGTAAGGCCTTCATCAGATAGGCTGTTGTGTTGTACATGATCTGTGGCATGGAGCTCCGTCATGCTGAAAAATCTCACGTTCATCCAAATCTGGTATCCAATGGCTTTTCACCAACTAAATTTATTCAAAGCTACCGTCAATTACAACCAACATTATTGAACTACCATATTTATGATAATTCAAGGCACTTATCCACTCATTCTTTCAGTTATTCTGTTTGCACCTCCTCTTAGAAGTTTCTCCATCAACTGGTAAAGCCGCTGACCTCTGCTGCTCCTATGGCCAGCTTAGTGACTGGCCAATGTCTGCTTGTCACATGGTCAGGTTGGGAAACACTTCCTACAACCCTCACACAGGTTAGTGTTACCTAATCACAACAAATTGGAAAAATCACATTTATTCATCTCTTGTTTTGAAGTCTTCCTTTGGCTGAAATTTTTCTGTCCTGATCAGTTTTCCTACCATCCTATTCTGAAATAAGTATCCGAAATACTTACAATGCTTTGAAACTGAGTGTCTTATCACTCTTATTGCCTGGAAACTGTGAGACAACAGCATCAACATCTAAATGTCTACATGAAACTTTAAGTCATGGAAAGGGGGACATTGGAGTATTGTTTTATTTATATTTTATACTAGCTTTGTTTTGCATATTTTTTATAAATACATTAATATTATGCCTGCTGATCATTTTTGTTATGTTGCAAGCACAATTGTAGATTACTTTTAAATTGTTGTTATTGAATAATTTACACAGCAGCTTATCGCTGGCAAAGTATTTCTCTTTTAATTTTAGAAAAAATTGGTGACTCTCATCCTAACAGCCTTATTGATTGGTGGATTAAACAATACCCTCTTCCTGCTATGTTTTTTTAAAAGTTGTTTATTATTATTATTTTTATTATTTCTTATGATTTCCATTGTATACACATTTCATTCTGGGTCCCAACCAAAGACCTAAGGTCAGGAATGGCTTTATGACATTTTCCACTGATCATTTTTGTAAAAAAAAAAAGACAAAAAAATAAGTTCACACACATTTTACATACATAAAGTTCTTTGTAATGTGTGAACTATAC